AAGTTTTGTGAAGAAAAATAATTTTTTTTTCGTCCACCCCACAGCTGCTCTTCCAAACGACGGAGCTGTTCCTCTTGTCCGCGCCGCAGCTGCTCTTCCAAACGACGGACCTGTTCCTCCTGTCGGCGGGCCTGTTCATCCTGTCGGCGAGCCTGTTCCTTCTGTCGGCGAGCCTGCTCCTGCAGTATCACTATCAGAGCACCTAAGTCAGGTGCTGCAGATGTAGGAGCTACTGACGAGCCTGCAGCCGGTGGCTGGACCTCCGACGTCTGACGTCAAATCTTCTTTGGTCCGTCTCCTGCTAGCGTTGACTTCGGGTACGGACACCCTCCGTTTCCTCCTTAGGTAAAATCGGCATGATTTTATCCCACTTCTGACACCAATTGTTACGATCTTGAGGTTCGTGACAATAAAAACTGCCGATTGAATTACCAAAATTTACACTTTTACCACCGAACACAAATTAAAACTTAAAAGACAATAATAATTAATCACACTGATTCACTTTATTTCGCTCCGAAGCTTCGCTTGTCTCGCCAAATTCAATACTGCCCCGTTCGCGTCTTGCAGCGCCTTTAAATACACCTTTTACACCGAAACATCCAGAATATTCTGGTAGATACGGGCGCTGACCAACCAGACGCAGAAAGTTCGAGTGTGGGGCTTCTAGAAAGCTTAATTCTTCTGTTCGATACTAGATGGCGCTGTGAGTCGAAATTTCAAGACTGACATTTTCTAGAAAGCCCTCCTCACTCTGGTCCCCGACACTAGATGGCGCTAGTGCCAGGTACCTGACGTCAACTTAGGCGCGCAACAATAACAAGATGTGGGATTTCACCACCATTAAAATTTAGATAAAAATTCTATCATTCGTCGTCAATATTTTTAAAAATTGTTTTTCTGCTGAACCACCTTTGTATGCGATCACTTCGTCTTTGCACAAATTTCTTATGTACCAATTTAATATGGAAACGATGTTTGTAGGCACATTTTAATTCTTCGGTCACGTCAAAATATGGAATGCCGTGCACGTGTGTTTCGTAATAACGAACAGTTTTTTGTCTTTTGGCGACAGATAATTGAAAGGATAACTTGGCCGAAACAAATAATGATCGATACACGCATAATTTTTATTAGATAGTTTTACTTCTAGAATAGCCATTTCTCTACATTGAAAATGTTTATGAGGATATGTAATGTAAAATCCGTCCATGTCGATGATGTATCTAATATTTTTTAGATTTTGTGTCATTTTGAACCAAAAAAGTTAAAAGTATTTACACGTGACTAAAAATATGTTTGTTCCACCAAACTTCACATAACAATGCTTCATTACTTCCCATCATCCCATCTCTTCCTTCTGCTCTTGTCTTCCTGTAATTTAAGCAAACAGAATCACATTCACTAATGATCAGCTAATGACTGTCATTGTTAAAAAAGTATTTTTTAACTTTTTCACTTTCTGCTATTGTCTTTGTATTTAGGACTAGGAAATGTCCGCCGCGAATGATGTGTTCTGTACACGTATGCCACACTCATCTCTTCCTTCTGCTCTTGTCTTCCTGTAATTTAAGTAAACAGAATCACATTCACTAATGATCAGCTAATGACTGTCATTGTTAAAAAAGTATTTTTTAACTTTTTCACTTTCTGCTATTGTCTTTGTAATATTGTATACGAGGGCGTTTGTGTTGTCGTAGATGATATCCTTATTAGTCTTTACGTAATATTTAATCCTTGTGGAAGCATGTTTCCAATGATCAGTAGTTGGAATCTCGGATAGCTTCTTCATATCGTACATTTTAATTTTGATGAGATGCGTCGCTTGGTCTCTGGTCTCCGTCGTCAGAATTAGTAGAAATGTATGATACACCATCTCTAACGGCTCGTGCTACGGTTGATGATAACAGCTTCTTCTTTTTTATTTTTGATTCAGCTTCAAAAAAATTATCAATCGATTGCGATTTTCTTTTTCCACCATCGCATGTTATTATTAATGACGATGTCATCACTCTCTTCTTGAGGAGAGAGTGATGAGTAGTAATACTGTTTATAGGTATTTTCATCGAAGCTCAATGATTTCTGCAACAACACAATTATCATGTTAATATCAATTTGTTAACACTTAATTATAAAAGTTAAAAAAGTTAAAGTTACAGCCTATTAAAATCCACTGCTGAACATAGGCCTCCTCTCATGTCTGAGAGGGTTTTAGGGCTAGGAAATGTCCACCGCGCTGCCTCAATGCATGTTAGCGAACTTCACATGCCTTCGAAATTTTCTCAGACATGCAGGTTTCCTCGCAATGTTTTCCTTCACCGCCGAGCACGTGGTAAATCAGTACTTAAAATTGCAATTAACAATTTAATTGGTGCCGGCGGGGATCGAACCCGGGTCGCGTACTATGAAATTTACAACTTGCGCTAACCATCTGAGCTACCACGGCTTAATCATATAAATATAATTTCTTAACACTAAATCATACACACGTAAGAAAATAACAGAAAGAAAAGTAAGTTTGTCAATAAAATAAACACATCCATGGCCTTTGATGCGTTGAAGTAACACAAATTTAGTATTGATAGATCCACTGCGTTCAAACGTCCATACACTAACTCCATGACTGCAGCTGCTCGGTCTTATACATATAGCACCAGTAAGAAATAATTCTAATCTAAAGATTTTCTGCAGTGAAACTGATAGTAACTTTATACGTCAACAAGCTTATCTTACATTCTGTTGCATATCTCAACATTCCTTCGTGTTGCGTCTTGTTCGATGTATCGATGACTCAAATACGATTTGTATAACACAAAAGAATGCGATTTAATTGGAATTTGATTAAAAGGAATAGTAAAAGATGGAACTGGAATGTTGATAGGATTCAGAATAAGTGAACTTCAGTTTGTGGCGAATATTGCTTAATATATTTGCTATATAAGTTTCAGGGATGTTCAATGCATAGTTTTACGAGTATATTTACAGGGAACACATTGTACAACGATATTTTAATGAGATGAGATGTTTCGCTCCTATTTTATAGATAATAAGTAATAAGATTTTGTATTTTGTAAATAAAAATTGTAACAAAATCAAGTAATGTGTTATATTGATGATTCAGATTAGCGTTGTAGTTAGCAACAAAGAAGTATAATACAATAACATTGATAAGCCGACGCACACGCCGAGGAAGAATAGACAATGACGGTGCTCAATGAACAATAGATAAGAACAATGGGACGCTAATGACGGTGGAGGCCCTCACCGGATATCAATTAGATATTAGTTAATTGATCTGCACATCTCCGGAATCGTGTATCCTACGCAAAAACGCACCGCAGATTCATTATCAGAGCATGCCAAAACCATGGTTTTTTTAGGATCGTGAGTCGACGAACGTTGTACCACTTCTGACTCAGTGAGCCAGAACTGGTACAACTTAACTACTTACTACTAATTCGCGTCAATAGTAATATTAAGAAAAACAGTGGTATCCACAAGACTCAACTCTTCACCATTTAGGAGGCATTGGTATTTGAATGTTTAACGCTAGGTATTGTAAATTGAATACATTTTTGTCTTAAGACGTTTCCCCTAGAGAACGGACCTTGAGCGTTCAGTCCTATACAATCCACGCGCTCTCGCTACAATATATCGCGTAAAAATACGCCCGAATTTTTGGATTTATTTCAATTAAAAAAGCAAAGCGTACTTAAGAAATGAAATAAAACGTGAATAATGTAGATTTTTAAATTATCTATCCATTGGTGTAATCATCAAATAATTAGAGCATTGCTTTTAGCAACAGATGCATATAAGCAGTAATTTTAGTTGTTTTTTAAAAGTTGATTTTAAATGTATTTATAACACATAAAACAAATTAGAACGTGTAATGTGATGATAGCATATCGAACATTAATAATGTTCTTTTATATGTAGCTTATTTCTCATAACTAATGAGATAATAGCCTCTGAAAAACGCACTTTTGCTTTTGGTTTTGGAAGTTTTGGACCAATGTATTAATTTCGATAGAGCGTTATTTAATCGTATATCGTGAAAATTAATTGACAGTCGTTTGTATTTGAAAATTAAAGAGATATCATCAGCAAATAATACTATATCGTGATTATCGCCAACAAGTTAAGGTAAGTCATTAATATAGACTAAAAACAGGAATGGGCCAAGAATCGAGCCACGAGGAATAATAATAATAATAAATAATAATATATAAAAGTAAATAATAAATAAAAGGCGTAGGGAAGTGACGACCCCATCGCCCGCTGACGAAACAGTTAAGTGACAAAACTGCTACGTCGGTGCAGTCAGTCAGCGCCTTGCCAAGAGGTGTGAGCGCCGTGCCTCGGCAGTACTCAGGGTGCAAAGGCCCGTTTGTGCTTACGGCCGTACAATGATACAATAAAACGGTGCCGGGCCTGGGCGTCTCCCGCTAATTGGCGCCCAAAAATGGATGATGGATAAGATTGGAAAACGTATAGGGCCGCTGCCTGGGGGTCGCCGGGGCGCGTCTGGAGCTGGCGCTGGACGCGGCAGCATGCGGGCCGCCAGCCGAGCGCGAGGAGCTGCAAAATCACCTAACAGCCCCCCGCATCCATCATCCCCACCAGACGGCTTGATGTCGGCAGGGTCCTCTCGGACTCGGCAAGCGGCATCCGCCGCTGGTGGAGTGCGCCGCATGCGTTGGACAAGGGATATGAACGCAAACGCAATGCGGGCGTACTATAGGGCGAAAGGGGAAGAAACTGCGGGGATAGCGTATCGGGCTCGGATGCATTGCTTTTTTGCTGAGTTGGAGCCGTCTATTCCCGTCACGGAACAAAACCTGGCAGACCGAGTTCGGTACATCATGCGCTCGAAAATATTCGATGATGCCGAGCTCGAACGACTACGACGTGAGGCCATTCCCTCATCGAATTAATTGGCTACGGCTGGGGATGAGGCTCCTCAGGCGACAGACCAGCTGCCACGAGTAGAAGCCGCCATGGATCTTCCAGTTGTGGGTGATTCAGACGATGATGAAATGGTCTCCCACGAACTAGAGCAAATGAGGAGTATATTGGAAGAGGCGATTTTAGAAACGCGCAGCATGCCTCTCGAAAATCGACCGCGACTTCCCCGCATACCCCTAAGCAAGCGAAATCGGGCTGTCGTGAGGGCTCTTAACCCAATGCTGGTAACCTATTTGGAAGCCAGCCGGGACCTTTGCGAGACGGACTCAGTTCTTTTTGGCGCCGCAGTGGCAGCTTGCCGTATTATTGGCGCCAAACTTCCCATGGCTGGACGTGCTACTAAACAAAGTAGCGCCATCCCAGCCTGGAGAAAAAGAATTGAGGACCGTATCGCAAAGGCAAGGGCCCTTATCGGCAGACTGATAAGCTTCAGGTCGGGTAATAATAGACCGAGGGTTGTGCGCACCGTTAGAATGGCGTTTGCTGGGACAAATATCAGTTTGTCCCAGCCGGATATCACGCAGAAACTAACGGAGCGCATAGACGACCTGAAGCAAAAGATTGCCGCTTGGGGGAAGCGGATTCGCCGATTTACCGAGAGGTCAAGGCGGTTCAACCAGAATCGTCTCTTCCAGAGTGATCAGAAGAGGCTCTACAAATCATTGGAGCGACCAGAGGTATGTGGAGCGGGCCCAGGACCGGATCAGGCTAACACTGTCGCATTTTGGCGTGGCCTGTGGTCAGAGCCCGTAAACCACAGCGAGGGCCCTTGGACGGAAGTTGTGGCGAGTCAGTGTGCGAGTATTACGCCCATGGACCCCGTCATCATAACGCCGGATGACGTAGCTGAGGCGGTCCGTAGAGCCCCGAACTGGAAAAGTCCGGGACTCGACGGACTGCATCACTACTGGCTGAAGGGGTTCATGGTGTGTCACGCTGTGCTCGCCCGTCAGTTTCAAGAGGCTCTCAACCAGAAGTCGCTCCCTAACCTCTTCACCACTGGGATCACTCATTTGGTTCCTAAAGACCAGGTTACCACAGACCCGAGCAAATACCGCCCCATTACGTGTCTACCCACCATATATAAGACACTGACATCCATTTTGAGCGCGAGAATCACTCGTCACCTGGAGCTAAATCAGGTGATGTCACGCGCTCAAAATGGATGTCGGGGCGGTGGTCGTGGAACTAAGGAACCACTCCTCATTGACGCGGTCATTGGCAAAGTGGTGAAACGCAACCGTCGGAACTTCTCCGCCGCCTGGATAGACTACAGAAAGGCATTCGACTCGGTGCCCCATACATGGCTAAAGAGAGTCCTCGAGCTGTACAAGATAGACTGTACAGTGAGAGACTTCCTCGAGCTGTGTATGGGGCAGTGGAGTACGATCCTTTGTCATCTGGGTGAGCGGATGATGGCTGCGGAGAACCACATAAGGATAAGAAGGGGTATCTTCCAGGGCGATTGTCTGAGTCCAATCTGGTTCTGCCTCTCCCTGAACCCTCTCAGTACCTTACTGGAGGGATCCGGGAGAGGATTTCAGCTACGGAAAGGAGGGACAAAAGTGACCCACCTTTTCTATATGGATGACCTTAAGTTATTCGCCTCCAGTCGCTCCCATCTTGTGGAATTGCTAAAAATCACTTGTGAGTTTAGCAGTTCCATTGGAATGGAGCTGGGGACGGATAAGTGTGCGGTCCTCCATGTTGAGAGGGGAAGGGTTGCTAACTCTGAGGGCATAGATTTATCTATGCCCGTCAACTTAAGGACCCTTTCCGAGGCTGAAACATACCGATACCTGGGTATGTCACAGAACATCGGTATCGATGAGGCTGGTGTGAAACAGTCAGTTTGCGACGTGTTTTATGCACGCTTGACCAAAGTGCTTAATAGCCTTTTGTCCGGTGTGAATAAGACACACGCATATAACGGTTGGGTCATGCCTGTCCTTATGTATACCTTTGGCATACTCAGGTGGACTCAGACTGAACTTAACGCCCTGGATAGAAAAGTCCGCACTACCATGACGTCCCATAGGATGCATCATCCGAGATCGTCGGTAATGAGGCTGTACTTGCCGCGAAAGCATGGTGGGCGTGGCTTTCTAAGCGCGCTCACTATGCATAATCGTGAAGTGTGCAGCCTCCGTCATTACTTCCTGGCGAGATCGGATGATCCATTCTATAATGACGTCATTTCTAGTGATAAAGGGCTTACCCCTCTATCCTTGGCCAACGAGCAATGGCAGGACCCAGCAGTGCTTAGCATTTCCGACCGGGAGACCGTATGGAAGGAGAAGGAGCTCCACGGGAGGTACTACAGGGTTCTACATGAGCCCTTCGTAGATACAGTCGCCTCCCTCAACTGGCTACGTTTCGGTGACCTCTTCGGGGAAACCGAGGGTTTTGTCTGTGCAATACAGGATCAGGTTATTAAGACCAACAACTATCGGAGATACATCCTAAAGGATGGCACCGTCGACGTCTGTCGAGCTTGTCGCCATCCCGGGGAGTCACTTAGACATGTCATCTCCGGTTGTTCGGCGCTTTCTAACTCTGAGTACTTGCACAGGCACAACCTAGTAGCCAGAATTCTACACCAGGCGCTCGCTCTGAAATACGGTCTCGTGGACCGGAAATTGCCGTATTACAAGTACTTGCCGGAAGCCGTGCTCGAAAATGACCGCGCCAGGCTCTACTGGGACCGGGCCATCATCACAGACAGGACTATTCTTGCAAATAAGCCTGATATTGTGCTGATGGACCGGGCACAGTCAAGGATATTTTTGGTCGACATTACCATTCCGTATGACGAGAACCTCGTGAAAGCCGAAACAGATAAGCAAACAAAATATCTGGACCTGGCTCACGAGGTGACCGACATGTGGGGTGGTCTGCCGACCGAAATTATTCCTGTAGTCGTCTCTGCAAACGGGCTAATCCCAGTCAGCCTCTCGGGTCATCTGAGGCGACTGGGACTCCGTGACGGACCGCTCCGGGCTCAAATGCAGAAGGCAGTGGTCCTCGATACCGCCCGCATCGTCCGTCGGTTTCTTTCCCTTTCCCCCTAACCCTCGGCCGTTTGGTCTCCCCTGCCGAGGGCTTCCATCTGGTTGGATCTTTATTTATTTGTGTATTTTTTTGTATTTATTTTATTTTATTGATATTTATGTATATTTATCTTTTCATTTTAATTTATAATTATATATTTATAGAAACCAACCAGATGAGAAAACTATACAGATACCCCAAAAATAAATAATAAATCATTTTATTTTTTTTCTCTTCACAATTCACAAAGGTATATAATTTCACATTATTTCTTAAATAATACGATAGCAGATAATTTTGACCTTTGTGAGAGACTGGTGTCCATACTAGGGTAATCCCTGTGTTATAGATCACCAGGCCCTCACCCTAACGGATAGCACGTATTACATTTTCAAAAAATACTACAAGAGAAATACAAAATAGGAAATATTTCAACAAGGAAAGATTCTATATGTTTTTTTTAAAGTTATTTCTATATGTATAATAGTGTTAATGTATGCGTGTGTGTGTGTGTGTGTGTGTGTATGTGTGTGTATGTGTGTGTGTGTGTGTGTGTGTGTGTGTGTGTGTGTGTGTATGTGTGTGTGTGTGTGTGTGTGTGTGTGTGTGTGTGTGTGTGTGTGTGTGTGTGTGTGTGTGTGTGAGCGTATGTGTGCACTCATTTGTGTAGGGTTATGTGTTTTTAGGATAATACTCTCAGTAAATTTTCAGCAGCCATATAATCGATATTTAGCAACCACTTCCGTAATTTTTGTTTACATGCATGTTTTGGTAGAGAGTAAATTGACAAAAGTTTATTTAATTTATTATAAAGGTAACCTCCCAGGAAGCAAAATTGCTTATGGGAAAATTTTGTCTTTAGAAGCTTACTGGGACAAACTACATATTTCCTTCTTTTGTCAATATTATAGGAGGACTCATACTGTATAAGAGAATGTTGTAGCAGTGTAGTGTGCAATATAAACAGTTTACGAACAGATAAGACATTACAATGTTGATAAAGGTCAGTTGTAGGACAACGGAATGGAAGAGAATTGCTAACTTTTAATAGTGCCCTCTGAGCCCTTTCTAATTGCAATATGGTCGTTTTAGGTGCTCCTCCCCAGATGGTAATGCAATATGTCAACAATGATTGGCACAGTGCAAAATATACCATTTTTCTTACATTAAAATCTGCAACACGACGTAGATTTTTAAAAATATAAATTAACTTACGTATCCTTGTACTTAAGAGGCCAATATGAAGGTGAAAGCTTAGGGTGCTATCTATCATTACGCCAAGATATTTTATGCAATTCGTTCTAGACAGGGTAGGACAGGAGCAAGGGCTTTCAATTTGGGAGCAGCAGTGAGCTGTAATGTGAAAGTGTTCTAACTCAGATACATTGATGTTTTGGGTAGTAAATGCTATGTATTTTGTTTTTTCGACATTTAATGTAAGTTTAGATTCTTTTAGCCATTTAGTTATTAAATCGAACCCATTTTGTGCGAAGTTAAATACCTCAGACCATGTATCTGCCTGGAAAAGAAGAGCCGTGTCATCCGCAAAGGCAATGATCCTCCCATTGTGAATTTTTAGATTACATAGTGTATTAATATATGTAAGAAATAGCGTGGGACCAAGCACACTACCCTGTGGTACACCATATGATATGGGAAGGTCATCACTGTAGCAACCACCAATCCTTACCCTCTGATATCGATCCCTTAAGTAGTCAGAGAATAGTTTCAGCTGTGTATTTCTTATTCCAAGATCTTCTAGCCTATTCAACAAGAGCGGGATGTAAACTGTATCAAACGCTTTAGCTAGATCAAGGAATATAACAACTACTTTCTTTTTACGGTCAAGGTTTGTAACAACGAAATCTGTTAGTTCATGAACGTTTAGGTCGAAAACCATATTGACAATGTGATAACAGATCATGTTTCTCTAAGTAATTAGTCAAAGGCTTGTTAATCACTTTTTCAAGAATTTTTGACATAGTGGGAAGAATGGAAATGGGTCTATAGTTATTGACACAGCCCACATCACCGCTCTTGTAAATAGGGTGAATTTCAGCTAGTTTGAAACACTTGGGGAATTTACCAGTTTTAAGGGAAAGGTTACATATATATGTAATGGGAGGAACTAGTAAATGTCTATACCCTTTTAGAAATAAAGTAGAAATAGTATCTCTACCTACGCTACAATCAGATTTCATATTTAAAATAATTGTCTCTATTTCATGTTCGTCCGTGTCAATAAGTACCATGGAGTGTTGATATACGTTTGTAGGATAAATGCTACGAGTGTTTTTATTAACGTGGTGTTTTTCCGCCAAAGATTTACCAATATTTACAAAAAAATGAATTAACATAATTAACTGAAGTTTCAGGGTCAGCTTTATTTAACAACATATCGGCATTATTATTTAATTTATTCGTATTTGTGACTGCTTTAATTGTGTACCAAAGTTTTTTATTGCTTGTTTTAACTGCTGTTGTTAATTCTGCTTTTTCATATTCTTTTTTCAGTATTTTAAGTAGTTCATTACAATAATTACGGTAACGTTTGTATGTAGTTACGATTACGTCATCATGCGGATATTTTTTACATTTTTGGTGTAATTTGTCACGATTTCTTAAGCTTCTCAAAATACCTGGGGTAATCCAGGACTTTTTTATAATTTTGCGATTAGAAACTTTAATTGTTTTAGTATTCATTTTTAAAGCATTACTTAGGGATTCTAATAGGAATGTAGCTGCTGAGTCAACATCTACCATAGAATAAATACTTTTAAAGTCTAAAGTGAGAAGGTAACTATCTAAATTATCGTAATTTACACGTTCTCTAATTTTTTGGCGGCAAACTACGTGTATCTAGAGTAGCCTCTAATAGAAATATAAGAGTATCATGATCAGTAATGGAAGTCTCCGCAACGTAGCAGGTTGACCGAAGTTTTGTTTTCAATATGACGTGATCTAGACACGTTTTGCCATGGGTAGGGAAGGTGTGAGCAGGTAACATACCTTTAGATGCCAGACTATTTGAGTAATATGGAGAGTAGGAGTCCTTACTATGTATAACAATATCTATATTCATATCGCCAATTACAATTATGGTTTTATAATGTGAATACTGATCAAGCGTACTACTAAGCGATTCAATAAAATTTGTAGGATCCTTAAATCCAGCTGGTCTATAAATTACAAGGACTATGGTATCCTTATCTATTTTTAGAAGAATACAATTACAATCTGATATTGACAGCTCCTGCCAGGTTATATTCAAAGATTTTTTGAAATACACCAATACACCCCCATTTTGGGTTGCGTTATTAAGAGTTTTACAATAGTTATAGACATCCATTATCGGAATATAGTGAGTGGACGGCAACCAACATTCTGTAAGAAGAATTAAGTCCCATTCTAAAGCTGACCTATGTATTAGAACATTAAATTCATCTATGTTGCGAGTAATGCTTCTAATGTTTTGATGTATTATTTTTAACTTATGATTTGATGATTTCAGATATTAACCTAGACAAATTATCCAGGTCGTAAAGTAGTGATGAGTTTGATATAGTAAATTCGTCAATATCATCGCTTAAGTTTTTTGTGTTATCGCCTTTAAATTATATTAGTAATTGAGTACAAAAAGTTAAATTGTGTGCAATAAATATGTAAAGTAACCACTACAAGCAATAGCCCATTACATAGTGTACTTTTAACTTAAATTCTTTAACTAACAGTATAAAATAATCACCTGAAGTGGTACTGTTAATTTTAAAGCTATAGTTAATGGATCGTATATACAATATAACAATTGAGAGTGTGTGTTTACTATTAATGAGTGAGTGATTAAGTTGTGTTGTGTTTGAATGTATTATGTAAATGAGTGGAATAAGTATGAGGTTAGTATAGTGAGCAGTTAAAAGTGATTTACATTTTATAAACGGCAAGTATAGGTAAATATTATTTGAAAATATTAAATTAGTTTTGATTAAAAATATAACAATTAAGAGTGTATGTTTAATATTAGTGAATGAGTGGTTTAGTTGTGTTGTGTTCGAGTGTATTGTGTAAATAAGTGACATGTGTATGAGGTGAGTATGATGAACACTTAAAAGTGATTTACATTTATTCGCGGCAAAAGTAGATAAATATTATTTAAAAATATTAAATTAGTTTTGATTAAAAATATAACAATTAAGAGTGTATGTTTAATATTAATGAATGAGTGGTTTAGTTGTGTTGTATTCGAGTGTATTATGTAAATAAGTGACATGTGTATGAAGTGAGTATGATGAACACTTAGAAGTGATTTACACGTTATTCGCGGCAAAAGTAGATAAATATTATTTAAAAATATTAAATTAGTTTCGAATAAAAATATAACAATTAAGAGTGAGTGTTTACTATTAATGAGTATGTAATTGAGTTGTGTTGTTTGAATGTATTATGTAAATAAGAAAAATTTTTGTTATGTTATGTTTGAATGTATTATGTAAAAAAAGAATGTCTTATAAGGTACGTTTTAGCCCAATAAGACATAGGTACGAATTTATGAAACCATGTTTATTAATCAAACACAAAATTTTTATTAATTTACTGCCCCTTAAAGGGGGTTATCATATTTCTCTGTAGTATCTTCTGTGGTAAAGCATCCATTCGACGAATCGAATAAGTAATAGAACAGAACAAATAATAGTAGCTTTACATTAAGTGTTTTTAAATTGTTATTGTTACTGTTATTCGATGGCAGCATGTTGAAGTTTTGTATTTTTATTACATCGATGTATATCGTCCAACAGTATCCCCTCTTGTGGTATATATGTTCTGTGATCAGTATCTCAGTATCGCGCGTACTTCATTCGTTCCATAGAGTGTTGGAGTCGTAGACAGAGAATCCTATAGACACCGGCATAGCGTGTCGCAGAAAGAGACAAAAAAATAAGTCACTATATTTAGGGTTACAAGTGTGAGGAAAAATTTACCCCACAACTAGTTATATAATTAGAAATTAGTACGTAAAGTAAGCCTGAAAAGGAACACTGCCATTAACGATTATCATTGGTATGTATTGTAGTGAATGGAGAGCTAAGTGGACTGTATTTGACTAATTATTTATTATAATTTACTTTTGTGAAGAAAGAAGAAACTAAAAAATTGTGATATCTATCTAATAAACTATTGTGTAATGAATGAGAGCTTAGTGGACTGTATTTATGTAGGTTATGTTTTAATCTTGAAAAAAAAGAAGATACTGAACTAACTGTTACCTGCGTGAAATAATTACCTACAATCGCTAGGCACCCAGGGTAACATACGCAGTGCGTCGGGGCTAGCGCGTTGTATGCGATTGAATGTTTATTTTGAGTTTTTTTTAACGGTGTTTACGTAAATAGTTTTTTTGTAAATACTTGTTGAAATAGTCTTTGTTTACTGTTATTCATATTATTTTACCTATTTGATAATTTGTAATGGACAAACGTCGCTCCTACTTATAATTGTTGCGTGGATGGATGCCAAATGCCCAAAAAAGAAATACCGAAGGATTTTAGAAAGAAGTTATGAAAAGTGAATTTATTTAATTTTTTGTTAGATAGGTACTTATAGTAAAAAAGAATTATGTAATAATTTATCTACACAAGTAACATCTACGTACTTTATTTCAAAACTTAATTGAAATTTACTTCACTATCCAAGTATCTACATGCTCACATACCTATATATTGTCTTGTAGTTAAAATATTTTAAGTTATAATAACACTAAACATTGAAATTAAAACTTTGTTTTCTAACAAGATTTTCAACTGAGTAGAATACGATCGCGTTTCTGTTAGGAATCATATTTCAGGATTATTTGTTGTGGATTATCTCTTGCTAGTTGCATGCGTTGAGCATCGCAGAAATCACATAGGCACGAAAATATGGTCAGTCGATCATAGTTAGAATAGGTACTTTACCTAAGTAACTCAATTAACATTTCGCAATGTATTCTTTTTAGTCTTTATTGTTAGCCCTTAGTAACCACGAAAAGTCCGCCATGGAAGAGGAAGGGGAAAAGATGCAAAGTAACATGGACACTCGCGCGCAGCGATGAAATTTTATTTAGCTTGCGTGCGCGATTTATCTGATTAATAATAATGTAGGCTATTAAACGTCGGCAAGCAGTCGACATTAAAGGAGTGCAACTCCTGTACGTAGTACTATTATTTATTCTGTGCTGTTACTGTGATATCTATATGACAAATTATTTATTTAATTGCTGTTTTAAACTGCTAGGAGTTGAGTTAAATTAAAAATTGCAAAAAACTAAAGTAAATTTATTAAACAATTTAAACAATGTGGCAGTCTTCAACAAACTATCACTAATCTAATGTCTAATGGGACCTAATAGGGAGCCTGAGGGGTCTTCTTGCTTGTTCTCTTGAGCGCTGTCCTGCCGCGAATGTAGTATGCCGGCCGGGAGCCCTTCTTTCATTCCCGCCGACGGGGTCGCGTTGGCGCTGAGTAGAATGTTAGGTTTAGCATGGTCATGTTTGATGCCTGTGTCGTAACAGGTTTTGGAGAGCCTGATGAATTGATCCTGGTCTCTGAGGAAGACCGGGGGCAGGACCTGTTTCTAGAAAAAATCTTTGGTATCATAATAACCCTTCTTGTACAATTTTTCTTCCTTAACAAAACATTTAAACTTATTTAATGACAAATTTTGTACATTTTTTGGGATTTTGTGGTAAAAGCGTTTTAAAATTTCCCCATAAATTAATTACCAATTCTGTGGAGTCTAGTAACTGGTATTACAAGTTTATGTTTGTTGCTAGTGTTTAAAGTATGAACATCTTCATTCTTATGAAAGCTATTTATTTTTTAATGTACATACATTATTATTTATGAAAATAATGTACATACATTATTTTCATAAATATATTGCGATGCCAAAGTTAATATGTTTATTTTTTTAATTTTTCTCTCTTTACAATTTAAGTTATAAATTGCCAGTAGGCTCTCTTTTGCAAAACAAATTTGACTTCAATGTCAGTCGCATTACCCCATAGTAACATTCCATAAAACATTATGCTACGAAAGTAACTAAAATAAACTAATCTAGCTGTCTCAACATTGGTGAGAAAGTAACAGAAACAGAAACTTATATTATTCAATATGTATTATAAATAATACTTACTGAAAGTCACTTTTTTTTCATTTACCACTGGTTTGCAAAAAAAACTTCTGTCCTGAGAAGAACCAGCAAGAAACCCAGCGGGATTATTTTTTTTAAATTAATAGCTTACAATCATTTATGTTACAGTTTACAACATGAAACAAATTAGAAATAGCTTGGTAGTGATCATCCTTCTCAGGGGTTATTATCATCCGTACATTCCTTAATATTATAATTAACATTTTTATACAAACTTAGTTTAGTAATGTTTTTGAACTTTGTGAATGTCAAATGTTGTATATTTTCTGGGAATTTGTTGTAAAAGCGTATACATCGCCCCAAGAATGAATTACTGACTCGGTGGAGTCGAGTATTATTGTCCTTTAAACAAAACAAGCTTCGTACGATGGTTCCAAATTTTTTGCTTGGGTTCAAATGCTTTTGTGGCGTGATGTATACGCAGTTCAAAATAGTGCATGGAAATTGCCTTAATAAGTAAAACTTTGCGGTTTCCAATAAAAGGTCGACTTTCAAAATGATTCGTCGTAAATACATCCTGGCATCGTTTGAAACTTGTTAAAATAAGTTTCGGTAATAGGTTTTTTTCTGCAAAGAATGATATTTCTTTATGTAAATGTATTTTAAATATTCTTTATGCCAACGTACATACTTTAATAACATCGCGTGAAGGATAAATAAGGCTTAAACCTAAGGATAAAACCGTTATCTTTTTTAAAATATAAGACATAAATATTTGTCGCTAATAAGAGCTAGCAGACAATCTTCACATTTTATAGTTTTTCCTAATTTCCTAACTACAAACCCTATATATTACTTATATATACCCTAATAATTTCTTCAGTATAGGTGGTCAGTTTTAAGGCGTTAAAATATAATCGTGGTCATCATCGATCAAGAAATTATTATTAGGAGGGAAATCCTTAATCGAGTCTTCGAGATCTTGAGTGCAGTACATATTAATTTTATTTTCATATCGCACTTCTGTGTGAGTTAAAATTTTTATATCCTCTAGATGCATACAGTTTCCTGACTCAATACCTTTTATTTCCCCGTGTATCACTAGTGTTTTGTAGGCGCTTTGAAATTGAAAAGCTGTTGAATTGTTGTTATAGCCGCCCTTTGATCGTATCGAGCTGAAGTAGCACTCCAGGTGATCTTGGCTATGTTAGTATATAGGCAAAAAATTAAGTTTACCAGTCACTATGATATCAGCATACATTTTTATAAGACTTTGTATACATATTAAGAAACCAATCCAACTTTCCTATTTCTTTGCAAGATTGGTTTTCCCTCTAATTGCAACCCTCTGATGTAGATATCCATTATATTAACAAATTTTAGTACGCTATCGCCAT